ACTCCGAATTTATATAGCAGAGTAAGTGCACAAACCGCTACTGGTGATGTGTCAACAAGAAAGCCGGTTTCAAAAATTGCTACTTCTCAGGATGTATCAAGTCAATCTGGCTCGGGGAAAAACAGGTCACTACTCCCATATCATCTGTAGTGAGCGGCATTTCAACATATAGATTTCTGGTTAGTTATACCACGACATTTGCTCTTTCGTCCTACCGTTTACGGTCAAAGAATACGCCACGAATGCTCTCGATTTTATCCGGAGCAACCTCAAAATGGAATACTCTTTCCTCTAGATGAGGAGAACATCGAGAGCACACTTGGACCTGGTTCCAGTGAATTGTTCACAACTTACACATTCATGAGAATCGACCTTGGTATGGGTATGTAAATGGAAAATCACTAGGCAGCCACTTGTGGTACTTTTAAATGAAGGCTGCCCGGCTATTTGCCACTCGCTATATGAGACACAAGGAATCCTAATCCCTATTGTACAGCACGCAGTCAGCGGTGAATCCTCATTTAACTAAGCAGGGTCGCACACAACTTGCCAGGTTTGTTGAGCACACACAGGTGAATATTAAAAACATCCAACTCTTTGTCCTCCATGAATTCAGCCTTTGGACCTTGAAGAGCTAATAAGCATTCCATTCATTCGGCCAAAAACATCGCAAATGACGGCAAGTTAATCTTACTTCCAACCTACTGGTAGTGTAATGTGGTTGTCAAAACGAAACGGTACAGTCATGCTTGGTTAAAAGCCGGTATGGGGCACGTGATACCACACTTGAAAGGCTGGCCACGTGAGTGTCAGTTCCCGTGCTGGTATTCTTTGAGCAAAACGTTTGCGTTGGTTAATTCGTACACCAGTGACCTTCGCAGTGGCTTCCTTGTCCTGATATGCATTAGCAAGGTTCCCGGTGGATTAAACAGAGGTATAGAAGCTGTTACACAATTCACCTGATATCCCATGTGCAGAATTCCTAAAGTAATGAGGCTGTCCTTTCCGAAAGCTAGTTATAAAACGCCCAGACATTCATTTGGGCAGCTACCCCGTTGTTCCATCAATATGACTGGTTGCACATTTAGTACAAATAGCGCGCCCACGACTACTTAGCGTTAGACAAAATTTCAGGTCCTAACGGTCATCGCCCTCGGTTCGATTGGTGACGGCGATGCAAAAAAGTGTAGGATGTGTGGCTCATTTGGGTGTAAAGTTGCGCATGGTGAAACTGGCTACGTTGATTACATTCACAACCGACCATAAACTCGGATTCGCCCTGACCAGAATCAAAAGAAGAGCTATATTTTGGGACACTTCCTAATTTTGTCTTGGTGGTAATGTACAAGTTCCCTTCCTCTTGGAAGACCCGAAGACAGATAAATCCACAACGTCGATCCGATGGGAACAAGTGCAGCCTCTTTGCCGTTCCAGAAAAGCCGTCGTCGTATGATTCGCGTGTTGTGGGATCGATCCGAAACAGATATCTTGCTTGCGGTTGGGCCAATGAACACGGTTCGACCGTCCGTGTGGTGTAAGTAGACAAAGGCGACTAGGAGGACAACCACTACCTACAAGTGGTCCAAAATACTACTCTGGATATTTCGTATTTACCTTACCATTAAAAAACTTCCCCTGAATTCTCGAAATTGTATTCAGGCCGAAATAGTCAATGAGATAACTTCAGTTCTCAAAGTTTATCTCCCTGAGGCGAAAATGCCACTATTTGCTGGTTCCGAGGTAAGAATGGAAGCTCCGGACTAAGATGCACTCAGTCCACAGACCCAAACAACGAACATACCCTCCAACGGAGCATAAAATTCTGTACCAGAAAAATCCAGGTGTGTTAGGGTAAAAGAGGAACTGAGAAAGGTACAGTGAACTTTTCTTCTAAGAAAGAAGACCTGAAACATCACAGATGATGCGGAATTTCTTGAGTATTCCCTTTTATGCATGTCTCTGTAGACTGTATCACACGTCACTCACGTCGAACCGCCAAACGAATTAAGCTGGCCATACCATCACATACAGACAAGAACGCGGTCATAATCTCAGTGCGTTCAATAATTACGTGATCAGAAAGACAGAGCTGACGAAGTGTGAAAGCTCAACATATAATTACAGCACATTAATAACAACAACTCGACCCAGGAAAGCCCTGTGAATTCAATGGAGCTCAGCCTGAACTGAGTGAGTTGAAAACCCACTGAAAAGTCCACAGTGAATGAATCACATGACCTTACTCGATCGATATGCATATTCACCTTGCTAATAGGTTGTCCATAGAATCACCTCCAAAATAGATAAACTGGTGAATTTAATTCGCACGTATTTTACCTCGCAGTCTTCTAGATGCTATCCCTGGATGCTCAAGCGAACGGAGGCGATCTAAATGAAGTTGAAGATTACTCGACTCGCTCATTTGATGAATGATGCACTTTTAAGAATTAAACAGACAGAAATTACATTGTACTTGGGTTGGGATGAACACGATGATCAATGACAGTGGTGTTGATGTAAAATACTGATACCTATCTGCTGTACAACTGTGCCAATTAATATAACTAAAGCTCCGTAATGAAAAGAAAGGCAGAAATTGGAACTATTGTTCGCCCAGCAAAAAAAAAACAAACGGCGCGCTCACAAATTAGATAATAGGGATAGAAACTGACGGTATAAAGGAAGCTGACTCGGATATTCAGACATGCTTTTAACATCTCTAGTGGAGAACGGGGTGGGTCTTACCTTGAGGAACATCAATATTCTTTCATCCCCCGATGTCAATCTAGAATAATTAACTGCAGATCCCCCCACTGAACGACCTGCACAAAGTTACCTACACTTGAGAAATCCAGATGGCTTCAAAGGTAGTACAATAAACAAAAGCAATAACTAGCCGCGATCTGCCCTAGTTTCGGGAAAACCTCGAGGGACTGAAAAGTACGGTGAAATTTGGTTCAAACACACTTCTCACAACAAATGCAGAGTCAGTTCAGATAAACTTAGCTCCGGAGTGACACCATTTCAAGGTCCCTTTTGACCTAAACGGAGAAGCCTGGAGACTCACCCTCGACCCATGCAGCCTAACCGGTGGTTTACCTCCCGGGCTAGAAGGCCTTCGAGTAAGTGTCGCATTTCTTTCGACATGCTATCAGGAAAATCGAGATTCTGTTGAGGGTGGAGAGAAAAGATGGCAAAAATGCAGTGAGAGTGATGTGATAGTGATTTATGGTAGCTAACCAGTTGAACGAAACAATAGGAACTATACACTAATTCGTCCCAGAAGAAAGCGCAATGATCTTGTTCAGTTTCGGTCTGCACTACTGCGGATCCGTAATCTCGCCCTCTGATGAGCAAGCACCATTAGGACAATGAATGATTATTCGCAGTTCCCAAGAAGGACTATTGTATTCGGAACGTAATGATTCGCTTATCTAAAGGATCACATCAAACAAATTTCTCAGTGCACAGAACCGACCGTCCTAACAGTCTAGATTGTCAGGTCAAGATTGTATGTACTAAGTAGAAACCTTACCGTGAACTGGGCTTCGTCCTATTGCAGACCAGGTAGCGTGTAAATATTATACAGAAGGCCTAATTCGCCGACAAGATTGCGTTTGATGCGAATCAAACCGAAAAATAGCACTATACGACAACAGTTCCACAATATGAGCGTAACAAATTCTTTCGCGTGAAATATGGTCGGTTTTATTGTCCGTTGTAAGCCAGCCGTCTACGCATAACCAACATACTACAAGTGACTTGCATGAAGGTTGGTGTGGGAATTGTTTGAAATGATCCAATGATAGAGTGAGGACGAGACCATTCTACTGGCTCAGACACATTTAAAAGGAACAGTCGATCAAAACATCAAGTGGACGTCAACCTGACCAAAACATAGATAATCAATGTTCGAGAATGGACAGCAACACAACGCAAACAGTTCTGTTTTGTCTGTCTCAAGTGCTTTTGGGTTAATCTATGGGTAGAGATCAAGCACTGAAATTTAGAAGCGCTAAACTTCGCTCTATCGCACAAGCACTTCGGATATCCGTTGCAAATCCCGAGCTCTGCACACAGAAAGGTTTTGTATGGACTATCACTTATCCACCTCACGTGAATCACCGAAATAGCCGAAAAACCCATATGAATCCACGGAGTAAACTTGCGGACCAAGGCAGCACACTACAACAGTTATTGTACTCGTCTACCATATCAGAAAAAGACCATTACATGAATCGGAAGTTAGCATTATAAATAATAATACAGGGGATAATAAGAACCAGGAGGCTAATAGGTCAAAGCTTGGCCGAGTTAGGTGTTACCGCCGTCGGAGAAACTACAGTCAGAGCGCATGCCCAGTAAAATTCAAATTTCCCTCATGCCAACTTCAGGGTCCACAGATAGTGTGAAGGTAATCAGAAACAGCAAGCTCCTAACGCTTAGGCGGGGCTGCAATGGTGTCAGTGCCGTTCAAGCTCACCGCCCTCAAAAGTTTGCATCCAGCAGCCTATACAAGACGATCAGGAAATGCGTTAGCTTGCATGTAACAGATGATCCCAATGTTCTTTCATTCAGATGAGTGAATACCACAACGTTCCAAGCAACATTAGTAGGAAAAGAGCTGATGGAAACCAAAGCACAGTATCAGGGTGACCAAACCTAGGATCACGGTGGGAAGGCTGAGAAAGTACAATTAGCATGCACGTGAAATCAGGCGTCGAGGTGCATGCGCATGAATGGACGAGGATCACGCAAGAGCAAGCAGTTATCATCCTTACAGAAAATTTCTACACCCATTACTGCTGGGTACGATTTACGGCGTTCCATATTAGGGCTGCCCAATGTATCTAACCTAATTCCCAACCGAACTGATGACGGACACAGACGTACAAAAACCCAACCCTGGAAATCAAGTGCAGTTCGGAATAGGCTTGCCTAGACAGCTAGAAATCGTCCGGAGAATGTAGTATGTATTCTTTTTTTGGAAACCATCAAACAAACACCATGAATAAAGGTGTGTTTATGATGGTCTCCGTCAGTACGAAACCATCTAAGAAACATGCTGAAGGAAAGCATTTATGCAGTTCAAAATTTGCAACGTGAAACTTCACTGCTGGTGAAATCCTCCAGTACGTAACCAACCATTAACTGACCTTGACGAAGTGCTTAGGCGAAAACAGAGAAACCGCCCAACAAGTAGTCCTCAAGTTAAATATGGGATGTTGATCTGCCTCTGTTTGCTAGATGAAACAAACGCTGAACCGGTCCATTCAGGGACAAGTCAAGACATTAGCACGGAGGTAAATGTAACTGGTGCCATCCGTTGAACAAAGACCGCAACAGCTACGTATCCGCCATCGGGTGAGGTCCTTTACTGGGCTGGCTATTTTAGCGAAGCGGAGCAGAGGTGTAAGGTGATACAGGGGCCAGAACATAAAAAATTGAATCCTCCGTAAGTTAACGAGTTCCCCTTGTGATCAACCAACAAAGAGAAGAAATTATTATGACAAGAAGACATTTTCTACTCCCTTGAACTCGGAAACGTTTAGTCAGAAAGCATTATCCTTGATCTGAAATTTTCAACAAATCTCCACTCAGAATGGAGACGACCAGAGGCCGTGTAACGTATTTTATAAAACGAATCAACTAATAAAATGCTTGAAATGCAGCTTAAACAAAGCCAGACGTAGAATATTCCAATTAAATGAAATCCCAGAATGCCTGACGCCAAAAGCTAGAGCTTGAGACACTGACGAAGTGAGGCTTTAGTAGCATACCTGGCACTTAGATTTTAGGAAGGCAGGCAGTGCAAGGCGACATCGATGGCACATCGCAGATCCTTGAGTCCTCCGTATGTTAGCCGATTCTGTTACACCTTTGGGTACAACGAACTACTGAATCCAGAGAATAGACCGAACGTTGAAGAAAAAAACAAACGCGAGTAGACGCCCACGCAACCCCGTGTTGTGTTATTTTATGGCTCTATCAGAGAAGTTGGACCACCGCCATGAGTGTTTTCTACCTCATTACACACAGTACCAGTCCGAGGATCGAGGATCTGTACGTCATTATTAATCATCGGGCATTGTCCATAGTTAAAATCAAAGGAAAGAGCAGCAAACAATGAAGTGAAGGTTCGAGTGTCAGCAAGAAGAAGTGTGTGCATCTTTGCAGAACCCGGCCAGATCTATCGATAAGTTGTGCAAAATGAATAAAAACTTCGGCAGTCTTGCAGTAAGTAGACTTTCCCCTGAGTTACCCACAAAAACCATTTCTAACCTTACATTTTCAACTCAAAACTTCAAGTAAGCAAGTTATTGAAGTGAGGATTAGTTTGAGCGTTCCAAAACCGCTTCCTATCAGAAGAAATTGCTTTGTGAATGAAAAACCACAGGCATAGGGGTGTAGGGTCTGTCCTACACTCGCACGCGGTGCCGTAGAAATGAAGCAACAGATAACAAGAGCATAGGACAATAGAAAGTATCGTTTTTTATACCTGTCAACGGAGAGAAGCAGGGCTGCTAACATGAAAAATTTACAAACATGTGTGTGGAATAGGTTCTCGGATAAATAACGCTAAGGTGTAATTACAACTCAGACCTACAAAACACCAAAGTAGGAAATACCTATTATCCTGCTGAGAAGGAAAAATGCCAATTTCAGCGTCATTTGGCGAATAGTTCATTGTTAGATTAAGTGGCCCTGAAAAGGTAAATTTGCACCAAAAAAAGAATAGAAATAGAGAACACTATGCGACACGAAATCGAAGTGGTCCTTTCGTGACTGGAGAAACTCGGGTGCAAAAACACTTACCATGGTCATCGTCATTCGATCTATTTCGTGTTTGTCCTTGGTCTTGTGCTGCCGAAATGGGCTATGTCCACGCAGTAACTTGTACAGCATGCAACCCAGCGAGAACCAGTCCGCCGACGAATCGTATGGACAACCCTTTTGTAATACCTCCGGAGCCATATAGCCATGGGTTCCAACGCTCGCATGTGGTTTCCGTCGAGAAAAGTCACAAGCAAGGCCAAGGTCACTTATACGGACGTGACCGTATTCATCCAATAAAATATTGGCAGGCTGTCGTGCATAAGTGAAAAGGAGTGTTAGTTAGATGGATAGTAGAGGATCAACTCGCAACGCTGTTGTAGCAAATCACCTAACAGTGGGATGGTAAGGTCATTTGTATTAATAATCTCATGAGTCAAAAATCACAGCTTGAAGTCAACGCATTGATTCACTGTAAAGAGGTGAATTTTTCGAATGAAGTAATATAAGAAGAAGAGTGAATTCGTATCCTTGCACACTAAGGAAGTCGTCAGGTGAATTCCATGTGAGGTCGAGAGAGAGGAGTACCAACCAGCCAAAACTCTCGCGAAAAAATTGAAACACCATGTTACCAACGGATTATCGGTTTCATTAGGAGTTGTGGCAGGGTCTGCATCACCCTGTTTGAACAGTATCCGCTACTATAATGATGACATTACTCCGGTCGGTTTGAAATAAACAGAAAGCTCTAAAATGCTATTTCACTCTCACAGGCAGCTCGTCGCTCTGTCGAAGGTGCCCATTAGCGGATTGTCGGCATGAGCGCTTCATCCGCATCCACTCGAAAGCCTGTGTGGTTGAGCGTACACCACTGGCAAATCTGGCAACTCCTGGATTAGGCGCCCCAGGATCAAAAGTATGGTATATGAAAGGGATTGATGTGGATAAACTCTTGGTTGTCTTTTCATTCTTGGCCATCCCAATTATAAACGGAAGGAAGAATAAGCGTGGAGTTGTCAAAATTGTGGGGCACAAGTCACACATTTCAAGGTAACAGGATGGACTGTGTCACGTTTGATCTTAAAAGGGCGGTAGATAAAACTAAACCACATACAACAGTATGCCGGAGATTATGCATTATTACTATCCGCTCCCCACATCGCACGTAAGTTGGACCCATTTATCTGGTTTATTTATCCGTATCCGTTACCAATCGACAACTGGACCAATGTGGTCCTGTCCACCCATTTACTGATGAAGAACGGATAGGTCGATAAACACGGTTAACAATAAGGGTCGACACTTCACAAACCGAACGCCTACTCCTACCTGGATAGTAAACAACGCGACTTTTGTTGACAGATGAAAGTCCTACACAGTTTTGCACGCATTGTCCTTGAACCCCGTAGAAGTTCCAACTATTGAATGTGTCCCCAGACACATCAGGCACTGTATGTTGCCTTTTCCATCCCCCTAGGTTAGAAGTAGCTCCCCTTGCACATTAGCATCGTCTAGATGGCTTTAGGGTACCCATTGTAGGACCAAGACTAGCATTTTCTCTCCTCGATGAACTACGAATGAAGTCGTCACTAATATTCCACCCAAAAGGTAATCGACACTCTCAATTGTCTATAATTCTCAGAATGAATCTTCTATACCCGAAGCTAATTTAAGTCTGTCGTAATAACGCCGTTTTTGTCTACAAATCACGGTCTGGACGATAGAAACATCAAGTCAGTTGTGTGGAATTATATCACATAAGTCTGAGGAGAAACAGCTCACGTGACACGAATAAACTAACTGTGCTCCAATTGCCACATTGCTGGCATGTCTACAAATCATCCATCAAGCCCAGTTCATTTCGCAAAGCCACGGGCTGGGTGGAAATAGTTTGAAGACAGTGGCCTTACGTCGAAGCACTAAAACCAACAAATTTAGACGCGCCACTACATTGGGGAGACAGCTTAATTAGTGGTTTATCGCCTACGGAATTTCTCCAGCCCCCTGACTCAACTAAAATATCCCCTCCGAAGTCATTTCGTCAGCAATAGTTCTATTGAGTTCCTGAAAACTATCACATTCCAAAATTGGCCCTTTGTATTCACAAGTCCACCCACTTGTGAAGACTCTGAAAAGGCTAACCAAGAAGTATCAGACAACAGTTAGAATGTTCACTATAAACCACAGTAGCCGGACTATTACAATACAGTTACTTCCAGGCTCAGTTTCTACAAGAGTGGCATTTCTGTTTCCATCGGCTTCGCTGAAGAACATTTGTGGAAATAGAAAAACAGTCTTTGTGAAGAGTCACCACTCTTCAGAGGACCTTCGTAGTACCTGGTGTCGGTTAATTACCACGGCTACATTCCCACATACCGTTAGACTTATGGGACTAGAGGACCGTACAATGTAACTGCAGTGGTCTTCTTGTGAGAGAAGTTAAAATCCTCCAGGACCAAAAGTGCTATCGAGTCATGCAACAATTTTCTGATGTGAAGAGTGCAAACGCTCAAACCGCTGCTTCCCAATTGCTTGTATTACGTGTTATTACCGTGAGTGATGTACATTTATACAATTTTTGCGCAAAATCACTTTAGCAACGGAAAACCGTCGAGAACGGTTTTTAAACTGTTTCAAACTGTTTCTCTTCAACCAAATGAAACACCAATCGTGGTGAATGCCGAAAAATCCAGTATTGTAGTGGAAGGAAACTCTATAAGTAACTTCCGCAAGATGAGGACCAATTATATCGCACGTGGAATAAATTGGACTTGTTTTCAGTAACCTTTGAGAAACAGTCAATGGCTGCCCTTTCACTGTCTTAGAAACACATTGTTTTCATATGATTTGACGCAGCCACCTCATACAAAGGATACGGTTCATAAAAACCAGCTGTTGAACGTCAAACACATGTTTTTTCTGCTTAACTCTCTTGACCACTGCCTATTCCGTCCACCTGGTTTCCAGAATCAGATGTAGACACTCAGTAAAGCACTGAATCCATATTTTTGAAGACCCATAGGAGCATGCTGGGCCAGAACGTGTTTAATTTTATGAATCATATGCACATTTGGCACCAGTTTAGAACGGGCCTCACTGGGTTTCTAGTGGAAGAATAAAACGTTCCGATGCATGGTTGAGACTTTTAACTTAGTCCGAAAAACGTTTCCATCAAGAAGCAATGGAACAATAAAGTAGGATTAGAGGGATGAAACAACTGAGTGAGTACGACCTACTTTTCACATGCATTTTGTTGAATACTTGGCTCCTGAGAAGTTTTTTCAAGTGCGAATTAAGTAAATGTTCGGGACTGGACCGAAATTATGAAGCACATTCGCTCCGACTTTAGTGAGCAGAGCCAAGTGTGTGCAATGACCACTTGACTAACCTACACTTTAACCATTCTTCACCAATATGTAAGAGGGCCGTTTCCTTTAAAAAGTGCACTCTGAGTTACTGCTAATTGTCTCAACTGATAGAGGTAATTTATTTCTAGCGTAGAACGTGTCATGGGACGCACCAGTCAGTTTTGCGAGTGAATGAGGGCTCACGATATGAAACGCCCAATGGGATAAGGGAAATGAAAACCATGTTACCATCAATGATAATATAAACCCACGTTTCCCTAACCGCGGTTCCAGCACTTGTCTGTACTGTGTTGGGTCCACCCAGGAGATCCTACAGCGTCTTGATGTACGCGAATGGACACAACCGTTCACAATATTTGTGTAACTATCAGCACCGACGTTTCTGTAACCAAACTTTCCAATGTTTTATTCGATCTACCTATATCATTGCTTACAATACACACACATTACAAACAAATGCAACGAATATATTGTGATGGACGAGACTACATCCAAGGCAGGGATAGAAGACAGAAACGCACTAACATTGTTGTCTAGCTAAATTCGTATGCCAAATACGAGAGCCTCAGCAAGAAAAAGGTACAGCGCAACGTGTCATTTCGTGAACCGTACAGTCTATACTGTAAAAGGCGAATGATTTGCGCACATCGCAAATATACAGTCTGAATAGCGAAAGATGATGACAAACAGGCCAAAAATGCGTATCTGGAAACCTATGTGCGAGAAGACAACATTTAAAATCATGAATGACCTCAAGACCAGACCTGTTTGGACCCTTGTTAGCATCTGGACAGCTTGAGTGGGCTTATTGGTTGTCAACCCAAATTGACGAACTTAGCAGCTGGTTCATGCATCACAATGTGTATGCACTTATGCACAGATCCCAGACACAGAAACCAGTATTTGGCCTGTTCCTGTACGAACGAACTTGTGTTAAGTAACGTGATCTTAGAAACAAATTTCTTGCACCAGAGGAAAGACGTTATACTGGTTCGATACTGAAGTTTGACATAAAATCATGTTTCCTAAATAAATATGTTTAGAATCGTTTGTACCGGAGGTTAGAGATACCGGAAGAAAAGTGGGGCTGGCACACCAAAGTCATATGTATATATGAACAATGAGAAAAAGAAGTGGCTTCAAATTACCTCCTGACTTGATTCTAAGCAGTACATCAAACACAAAATACATATGACGAGCACACAGGGTTTCGGCGGCGCCGACCAATATGTATGTAAATTATATGCACCATCGCAACGTGCCACGTTGTCATCCAAAGGATAGCGACATTCGCCGACTGTTAATGGTTAACCGTCAGGTTATCCATTATGATCTTGACGATGCGTCAAGGAGAGGATTCTAACAAAAGTTGCTTGGCGCCATATTCAGAGGGAGCTGGATGAACTGATGGATGAGGTCGGTACCTTGATGGCGAACGAGTAAAAAGTACGTCTGGTTATACCAGGTTGGCTCATGGTTTACAACAGACCTCTGCTATTTCGCCCGCGGATCTAATTCCATCAGGCCGACAGCGGCGCCAAAGACTTGCACACAACAGCAGGTTCGGGTCCGCTTAAACCGTCCGTGGCTCTTCTGCTGTGCGCAGATTTCCAATGGCTTCGTCAATGCTAACCGAGAAATCCTATGCCATTCATTCACATTTACCACATGCTTTGAGATGATAGACTGCGTCCAATGTAATTTCAAATGTAATTTCAATGTAATTTCAAAGTTACAGCGTTGAGAAGAAATCAAACGGGCTACAGAAAAACTTACAAGAAACAAAATGCCCCCAAACTAAACTAAAATTATGTTATATGTTATATGCTAATCGAAATGGAGCGTGAGACTCCATAATCAATCCACAACCATAGAAATGAGCGTCAGAGGGAGGGCATCATATCACCAAAGATTTCGCCATCTCAATAAGGATACATCTGAACTGTTCGGCGGGTATGAAGGGAAGTCGCAGAACAGCTAATTGCTATGGGTATAGAAACAGCCAATAGTTTTGAAGTGCTGAAATCGATGAGCCGGAAAGAATACCAGACGTTCTAGCTCTGAACAGACTACACAGGATCTTCACAGGTGGTGCATTCCTTGGTTAACCTGCTTAGTGAGACGATAGCCCATTGAGTGAAACCTGGACGAAACCTTACGGAAACCTTACGAATTTCGAACATGGCTATTTTATTGTTACAACAACTAGATGGTTTTTAGAGGCCTACTTTAGGAACGATAGTTCATTCCTGAACTGTATTCAAATATCTAACTCCCCCGAGGGAGGATGTTGCAACATGCAATCATGCTATGTGTGGTTGGTTTTGTTCAAGATTGAACATACAACAATAAAGGCAGACGAATGTTATGAAATGTCCACCGTACGAAAGAAACCGAACGACCGGAGAAAGAACCTGAAATTTATGAAAGAAGGAAACCATGGACAAACGTTCCAGCTGGATTCTTCATCAAAAATGATGCTTTGATGGAATAAGTGATGTGGTTTTCTATATATCAATGTACTTTACATGAGGCAGAGAACATTCAATCACTCCTGTCATATTTTCACTCCCTGTCATATGTTTCGAGTATAGTGGGAATTGTGTAGGAAGCTGGAAAGCAACCTTAGAAGCAAACGCCTTCACTGAATTGAATTCAAGACCATTCGCACAGGTCCCACCCATTCGAAGTAGACCAAAATATAGGCAATTCAAAGCTGACCATTGCCGTTGTGTGTTTTGGGCGAGATGCTGTAAAAACTGCAAATGAAACCACACCTCGAGGCAGTTGACGGATCGCACGGAAAATGGGCGACTCCCAAGAATGGGTTGGACTCTGTGATGAATTGCTATCGAGCAAGTTGATCACCAATTCTCTCCCGTGAATATTCCCCAGTGTGCCCAGTGGCCTAAATTTGTGACAATCCGGCATTCTACGCATACACCGGAACCAATACAATAAGCCTGAATATTCGATCCTTCTGAGAATCGATGTTTAAGGGGAAGACTTTGACGCAAAGGAGACCACTCATAGTTGAGGAACCAAATTTAATCTAGCTGATCCAAACATTCTATCTTTCAGAAATCGTTAGTCCCCCTACCGCAACGATATGAACGCAGAAATGGGGATAAGTGAAAAAGTCACTTAAGCAGCAGTCCACCAGTTTGATCAAAGTGATCAACTGATAGTAATGGTGACAGATTTAGGTTCACCACAAATCAACTGTGAGCAGTGTAAGTGCAGCATCTATTCCAGATGGTTGTCTTCTATTCAACAAACAGGTCACTGCAGACAGAGTACAGCTCTCAATGGCACAGTTGCACGCAGTGGCTAATCAACATAGACTGGCTGTATAAAGTGAGAATGGTTAATTTGAATGAAAAATTCACGCCTAAAGCATCGGCTATCAGTGAGACTGGCAGAAACAATAGGCCATTGATCAAAAACACAATTCTTTAGTTGGACAAAATCAACAATCACTTCAAAAACAGACTGCGTTCATTATTCTAACATAGAAAAGCAAGGCTGCTTTACGCCTGAACAACAGCATCGTGAACAACTTGTGGTTTAGGGAGTGGACACATGTTCCACTTGAAAAACACTTGAACGAACACTGAAATTTAAACGGGTAATCCCCATCATCTTCACGCCGAGTTCGACCAAGATTGTCGCATTTTGCTTGGGTCCAACAAATTGCTGTTCACAGTCTGATACAATAGAACATCAAACACGAGTCGATACCGGCTGTTTAATGCATTTGAAACAAAAAGAACGAAGCAGAAAATGTAGGCAAGGAGCCAGTATGTGTAATCATTTGATTTAGTACTAACTTCGATCACAATGCTAAACGATTGCAGTGAATTTAGATACCGATCAGGTTTCGTGCTCGCTCACGATTATGCAAAATGTGTTTTCTAATAAGATCAATAAATTACTACCTGATTGATAATGCGTTGTTGGGATAGCAAGGTCTAAAAACCCGTTGTTCTGTTCGCTTAGTCGGGCACTTCGGTTACAAACCTTTCGTTAGCGGTCGAGATGACGAAACACAGACTGATGTAACTTCGTTGCTCAGTAGCATCCGAGTGTTCGTGGCAAGCAATGCTCCGCTCATGTTTATACGTCTTGCTGACAAGAGGGTGAACCTTGAAAATAATTCATTTTAGATGGCCGATCCTCTAATTGGTCAATTGGCCTAGCTCAATAAGCAGCACCGTAATCCGCACAACCTGAGCTACCAACGTCCTGCTTGATAGCAAGGCAAAAAACGGTTGATGTATGTTTGTAAATTCCTGTTCCTGTCAAGACAGCGACGTCGACCGAGCGACGAGGCAATTGTCAAAGCACGTCCACGCACTGCAGATGGGGCAACGATAAAATTTAAAGTTCTGTTTTATCCCATCTTCTTGTTATTTGAGATACGGTTGCTTTTCAAGTCCAGACACCAAATTTACAGAAAAATGAAAGCAATTACCAACCGCTATTTTAAGCCCGAGTTTTCCCTACATAAACGCTTTGCGCAGATATCAAGTTTCACGTGGCCGAATAATCACTTGTCAGCCTCACGTGATTCGCAAAAACCGCGCCAGTTCTATCGGCATTCACCACTGATTATCGAATTTGGCCAAATCATCGTCTATCCGCTGTTCTGATCGATTCAATCTAAGCCAGTAGAACAGAGACCGAAAATTTTACTTGCATTCGAATGGTCTTGTTCTGAGTCTAGCATGAGAACGTTTCATTTGGCCAGCCCTGAGCTAATGTGCATACATTAATTATTTATTCCTAATCCTATGTAGGACGGTCAAAAACAAAGAACTTGTATTTCAATTATGCAATACTTTCAAGCGCGTCCAGAATGATTAACTGAGTACTACAATTTATTGGATGACACAATTCTACCAGTAATCCCTGAAACTGTCGATAATATCTATAATTCGATCAATCTTGTTTGGCTCATTTGACGTCGTAATAAGAAAGGAGAAGTAAATAGTACTAACTATCAAGGGTTTTGCATCCGCATAAATCAACCATCAACCTTGTAGTTGGTAGTTGTGGGTGTGAAAGAAATCAATAGAGCGTACGAAATCTCGCCAGTGCATCAGCGATCAACGCTACTAAACACATATGAATGGTTTCATGCAATCCGTTCCTTCGAAAGAATTGCGTGCAGAGAAAGTAAAATTATAATGGTAAAGCTCGGAAATGCTGCAATAATGAAGTGGACAATACCTACTAGACCTTTTAAAAGCCGCTGAAAACTGAATCTGCTCTATAGAGAACATCGCGCGTGTGGAAACAGTGTCGGTGTGTCCTTTCAGGGTTCCGTCTGAAGAAGAAGCGACGTTCAGCTGTAACACGTTATATCCACCGTCTCATACCCCCTCAATGCCAGAAGACATTAAAAAGTTGGTTTGGTACGGTTAGACCAACGGTTACAAAACAGCACCGCTACCACTAGGACACATATGACTCGGTGAACCTCACAAAAATGTGCTTACTACTGTGACTGACTACTGAGAATCGATAACTAATCATTTCAGAAACATTGCAACAACTGCCACGTGCAACAACAGCACGACTGTGAACTGTGAGGTGGGATATCGAGTCCGCCATCTTCGGGAAACAACAATGTCATCCTTATGCACATCAACGGTCCGAGAAATCACGTGCGTCAGCCACTCCAATGTCACACTGATGCTCAACAGCTGGGATGCCAGGATGACTTTTCCAACGAACAACACTTATACCATCAAGAAAGTTGGCGCAGGTGAAACGGTTAATTGTGCCAGTGTTGGCCGCAGAGTCAGATCGAGATTGGTGAAAATATGTACAGTTGGGTTACTAAATCAAGTAGCAACAACAAGCGGCGGTTAAAAGCAGTTTATCCCTTTATTTTCGTACCTACACACTCATTAATTCATTCATGTGCTTCCTTATTCTTCGATTTGCTATTTCTTTGGTGGTCTATTTATTCACGTATTTACTGGTTCCCATGAACGTCTTATCTACCCACTTACCTGTTTATTTATTTATGCATTCATTCATTCATTCATTCATTTATCTGACTGTTTAGTCATGTATTTATCTCACACCAACTGAGCAAAGGGAGATGCTCAAGAAAAAATACTCTGAAAGACGAGGAAGGATAGACAGGTTCAGAGAATGCCATGAATAACAAGACAAAGAAACCTACGACAGCAGCACTGGTAATCGGATCAAAGACAAGGGACTCCTGTGAGAATAGCATTCAGGAAACAACATACGGCAGTTATGATCAACTCACCTTCAGATCTCTGTACACCACAAATCGATTGTGCATGTGTTCCAGACCAAGAATTACTTCAGCCGCGTAGAATCGCACTTCAGACTCGGAAAATATGTTATGTTGTGTCAAGTGATAGTGTAGATCCCCGCCATTCATCAAGTCCAGAATGAAACACAGTTTTTCCGGTGTTTGGAACGCATAGGTCATGCATACGATAAAAGGACATCCATCCTAAGCAAAGAGGGAGAATGTATGCATAGGATAAGAAATAAGCAGTACCTGAGGATTCACCATGACATCTGGAACGGATGTGTACACAAAAGTGAGTGAAGCTAGGCTATTTCTGCTGTATTCTACTCAGACATTAGATATAGTTTAGCTGGGCAAAAAGACTAAAATCGCCGGTATTAATCAATACCACTTGCCTGTAAACAGACATGTCATGATGGGATAAACCATGTCACGCAGAATGAGTTGCATCGTAGGTATACAAGCTTTCGGTATACAAGTTTTCGATACTAAACATCATACAGCTGGAACTCAAACATACGAACCTCAACAACAGAGATTTCGGTTCCTGTCGGGGGCCTAATCAAAATCTACCAACATGAAACGATGCTTCTGTTGACTTCTGTATTTTACGAACCAGTGTGTTGCTTTCTATTAACAATCGAACGAAACGAATAAAAAGGCTTTTGACTTGGGCAGAACTGACCAAAATAACAAGCAGGCACTTTAACCAGTCCCTTCATTTCATTACCTGTTGTATATGTTGCATGCACTGAAGCTCTCGCTCATATATGAGGCACATATTGTTTCACCAGTTATAAACAACACTACCTATTTTAGTTTACCTGGCTTAGTCAATTAGAAATTGCTCGGCGAATTTCGGACAGCTTAAAGGGTTAGTTACGAATCCGTCATATCCATGGCTGCGATTGCCCTATACAGGTGAGCTTCTTTTTCTTCGTCTCAAAAAGGTTATTAAGAAAATCATTCAGCTGTAACAGCATTTCGGTGCCTAGCTGCTATACCACCCGGAGGAAGCATGAGGGCTGGGATACTGCCGGGTTGCCCAAGCCTACACAGGGAAGGTCGAGAGGCGATGTTCGAGTACGAACCACGGACCTTCCGGCCAGTAAACTCGCGCTCTAACCCCTGAGCCATCTCGCTCCAGAAAAGGGTGGGATTGTGTTTTTCACTAGACTACAGCTGTGTGGGCCTGGGACTTAGGAGGACTAAGAAGACAAGCTGACCAAATGTAATGTGGTGTGATACGATATCTCTTCCTAAAGAGATCACTGATTGCACCGGAGATGTCGTATCTTCTTTCGAAAGGAGAGTTTAGGTTTACTAGGCTGTATTCTTTAAATGATGCTCTGAAGCCCGACCGAAAACCGTCATACTGTTTTGATACGTTTCACTGTACTGAATCAAAAAGGTAAACTAATAAACAAACTTGTGGCAATCCACACTTTCCTTGTATGTCTTCCACCCCCACAGTGCACCCACGTGCTGTCCAGCAAGTGGCTTCCACACGCGTTGTGATGCGGGGGCTTTACGCCATTGATGCCAGTGTATACAGCGGTATGCAGTAGTGCGTTGTATCACGGGAAAATACTTTCCCATCGCAAATAAGATATACGAAGCGGTCTTCGTGCGACACAGCCATACCATAAACGAGAGATCCAGTTGGTCTCTCGTTAAATACTTTCCCATCGCAAATAAGATATACGAAGCGGTCTTCGTGCGACACAGCCATACCATAAACGAGAGATCCAGTTGAGTCTCTCGTTAACAACAATGTGATTTGAAAATGTCTGCGGTTCATCACTTGCGTACAGTTTAGTATTCGAGTAGAACATGGGATTGACTGCACGTACCTGTTAGGCCCCAAGAAGGGCAAAGTTGGTAGTGGGCTATCGAAGAATATTCAGCAACCCTACAATTGAGGTTTTTCCAACAAAGTACACAATGTCCACTTATCGAAGTGCTTACAAACAGCGAACTGACCACTCAAGTTCCGCATCACGGGTCATTTAACTGTCGTGTGTTAATATGCGAGTTCTTGTCTGTGTATAGTCTACTCAACAATCCTGCCTGGCATATAGATGGAAATGAAGCGGTCCTACCACCGGACTAACTGCTCAGACCTAAATGAGTCTAACAATTTTTAAGAGATATAGCGCCAAAATGGTACCCCAGCTTCAAAGAACCGCTGCTGGGCATACAAATAAGAAAAGTCACCAAAACCAGGCTGGCTAAACACATTCGTGTGAATTCCCCCAGATTTTTAACACTTAAAGCTTACCACCATGGCCCACGGTTGCAAGATTTGAAAAGTTCGATCTTCAAGTGAATTCGCCATTGCTTCAAATAAGGCCAACACAATCTGCGGCGGTCATTTTCCCACCTATCCTAATTCACCAGAGTGCTACAACTTGGGAGTATTACCCGCATTAGCCGGGTATTTATCGCATCTAATGTGTTCTCTATCATCATATTGCGCAAGTTCGTTGATTACCGGGAGAAATGAGTTCGCGAGAATCAAGCTGGGTTTCACCCCGGCTAAGGAGGTATCGCCCATATCTCTTCAATAAGAAAAATTCTTGAGCAACGCTACTATTTCAGATGTCCCACGTTTGTCATTTTCCTCCATCTGAAAGCTGTTTTTGACTCTGTCGGTCGTCAGAAACTGTGGCAGTGTCTGGCGATCAAAGGTCTCCGTTCCAAATCTATATACCCAATAGAAGCACCGCATGCGAACTCCTGTGAGCGCGTACGAGTATACGCCAAACTTTTGAGGGAGTTCAGTGCGTCTGCTGGTGTAAAACAAGGCTACTCTCTCGCCTTTGCTCCTCATCTTTTTAATAACTTGCTATTCGAAATTTTTCTGCCATTCTCTGAAACCTCGGGGGTCGAAATGCCCCCGATACGTTTCCTCACAGGCGTTGGGTGTGCGAAAATGCAAACCATTTTAAATAACCTAAATAACTCTAACAAACATTTTGGCATGCACTTCATACCTGCAAAGGGCTGCTTCAAGTCTGGGTGGGACAAAACCTAAACCTCATGCTTGTAGACGAGCCAATCGACGTAGTAGATAAGTGTGTTTACCTGGGTAGTTGCATAAGTTTCGGTGAACTGGTTGGAGATCAGGAAAAGCAGGGCGGCTTTCACCAACCTCCGACTCCTGTGGCGTCAACGTGACATTAGTTTGTTTACCGAGGGTATCACTGCCATGGTGCATTATGGATCAGAGAAGTGGTCTCTACACGCAGAGAACATACGAAAGATGTCAGTGTTTGGCTATCGGTGTCTCAAAAGCATTGGTCGGTTGTGGTGTGAACATCAGATTGGCAATATTGCGGTACGACGGATGGTCCTAGGAAGAAGGAACTACCCCAATAGATAAATTACTCACATCTTACAGGTTACGCTGGTTAGACCATGTACTTCGGATGCTAGAAGACCATCTGCCTCGCAGATCTCTCCTGGCCTATCACTGTGTTGAGTAGAAGCGACCAATGTGACCTGGGAACGAAGTATTAAAACACTAACTGGTAAAGTGAGTCGAGTCGACAACTGCCACCTTCCTGGCTGGGGACCCCGGGACTCAACTCACAATTGACACTGGCAGAAATGTCCCAATCGGGAGTCAGTGGAGCTCTTGCATTGAAGCTACCGTCTTCAAATCGTAGCTATTCGGTTCCCGAACTAACGCACATACCGGACTCAACTCACAATTGACACTGGCAGAAATGTCCCAATCGGGAGTCAGTGGAGCTCTTGCATTGAAGCTACCGTCTTCAAATCGTAGCTATTCGGTTCCCGAACTAACCGCACATACCATCGCCCCCAAGGCTTGACTTTATGCCACACGCTCTCCGACTTCCATGTTTAAAAAATGTGGTAACTAGAACCAATGTACCTATGGTACACAGTTCATAGCTGATCAATTGAACTGACTAACCTATTAAAGGTATTCAAGCGGTCTACCTATCACACGCGTGTGTGATGCCAAATAGGGTCTTCTAATACTTGCATTTTTAAGTGTCGTTCAACTGTTACAGTTACCGTGATAATATCTCTTTCTTGTGTGACTTTGCCTCTTATACGCTAACCATCACGTTCAAACTGGCTTGCGTGAGCTTCTTTTGTGTTGTGCTGATGGAATGTTCCAGTCCGCAGACCGTCATAAGGAACAGCACCAGAAGGGCGTTTTGCATCGACCCAGTTTTTGCACGATTCTTTGTTCACTCGTCCACACAGATCAGAATTTCTCCTTCTTCGAACTTCGAAAGCGAAACTCCTCTGGACCACTTTAGAAACTGCTATGGAGTTCAAATGTGCCGAAAGTGGAGGGAGTATTTGCTCATTAGGCATTCCACAGTTCGTTCACAGCTTATGAGAAGTGCATTCGGACTCTGGATGACATATAGAGTGATCGCTTCATGTAATTCAGTCATGCCTATTTAAAATACGCTCACTCTATGTGGTTGCATAATTTTTCGCATTGCCCTCACATTTCTCTTGAATATATTCATGCCCAAACGGTTAACGAATTCACACAACGGACTTTTATATAAACACTATAGATAACCGGTATACTGAACATGGTAAAAAAATACAAGAAACTGGTGGACGCTCGATTCCTATACTTGACTTGATTTTGCGTACTTGCAAACTGAAAATGTTAAAAACAGATGTCCAGATTTACAACTCCAGACACTGACTGTTCATGCCTAAGGGCAACAAAACTCCTCTGTTCTGCTGCTGAATCTCTGAATTGCTATTTATTATTGTCCCCCGGGTAGGTAAGCTTCAAATGAGGCAAAGTAGCTTACAGCCTCATAGTTGGCTGCCAACACAAGCTTACAATGCAATAGGCACGTCAAGTAGGACAGATGCAAATAATCAATATTATGGTGTGCTTGCTAATACCAACTGCAGTTCGGAAAACGATCATTGTCCCGCCTGTCATGAAAAACTTTCGTCTGGCATCCTCCGACCACACGTTGCCATTAGGATAAAGCCGTCTTTTTGTCTACGAATACAACACTATCGAGAAAACCAGATGACCGTTGTTATCAGTAGCGAATGAGAGTAGCGTCTAAATCAAGGGAGCGTGAAGATCTATAATCAGTGTGTACGTGCAAAACGACTTCGCTGTTAAAAATATCCCGACTGTGAACAAAAAAATCGGAAGAGGGAAAAACAAAAAACACAGGAACGCCGCTCCGGTCACTCGCTCCGGTTGTGGCACTCAAATGCTAACAGATCTTGGTTACAGGAGGTTTCCGAACGTGCAGGATATACACTCACAGTACTCGCTTGAACAGCCCTCCTACTGTTCCGAAGTAAATATTTTTATGATTCCACACCAAGAAGATGAGGCAGTGGGTTCGATTTCCGCTCTTATTAAAGCTCATCAGTAGTGCCTAATTTCGGTAGCGCCAAGAGTTGTACTCCGGAGCGGTGTGTTACGGCCACCCTACCAGAACAAAACTAATGCACCCGAATTAGTACGTTGATTATCTCATGAATAAATATCAGAATGTGTTCAGGTACAATAAATAGCATGTCCATATAAAAAACATCGTTCAGTCGTAGGGGCCTTCCGGTGTCTAACTGCCATGCCACCAGAAGGAAGCGCGAGGGCTGGGATATTGCCAGGTTGCCCAAGCCCAAACAAGAGAAGTAGAGAAGCAAGAGTCGGGTTCGAACCACGTATCTTCTGGTCAGTAAATTCGCACTCAAACCACTGGATCACTAGCTCCATCTCGTCCACATAGTGAAGAAGAGGAAGATAAGCTTACGACATCAATAAACCAAACAACTCACAAACATACTCTGAAACAACCCACATTGTGTCAGTATCAAAAGCATCTCCGGCGACAACAAAATCAATAAACTTGTGAGGTAATTAGATTATTCGGACAGGGGAGATATCTAGTGAACAGGCTTACAACAAAAACATCAAAGGCCAGACAAAACATACCCCGGTACTGACGAGGGAGAGCATAATCCGTTCATTCAGGGCCAACGTCTCACCTCCTTTCATCTTGATCCGCTTTTTATCTAAACATTTCATTGCATACCTAAATGGAATGAGTGAGATAGAGATAAGGAACGTGTAAACATCGGGTAATGTTAGCAAAACCCCTTCCAACCATCCATTTAGATGACACCACAATTGGTTCGAGGACGAACAAACACCAATAGTCTGATAAGACCTAGGCTTTTAGTGTTTCAGGACCCTATTCGACTTATTATTCACCCATAGCACAGTCAATGTGCATAGAATCATACAACCGGTAGGACGATACAGAACACTTAGGATCATAAGAAGGAGGAGTGCATCAAATCCAGGTTAGAAAGAATCATAAGAGCAAGCGTTCATCTCATTTCAAGGTCGAGCAGCATATGGGGAAGGTTGACAGGATGTTGTGTTTCATCATAACTAAAGACGACTCTGCTACTCACTCTCAAATGCCTGGATGATATGCAAGGCCGACGTGAAAATTCGGAAAGACGCGCACGTGAATATATACGAGTTAGACCGACTTCTTTTCAACTGTGAAGCCAATAAGGCGGGTTGTGTCGGAAATAAAATTTACTAGAGATTTGTTGTTGAGGAGTGACCTCTGCTATCCTCGGATGAGGCGTTTTCCTACCCGCACGCTGTATAAACCCAGGCTAGGATGCGTAAAAAAACCCCAACTAAATGGGCGAATCGAGCGTAGCACGGATTTCTCGTGGACCTACCCTGATTTGGTGAGTGACGAACTGTGAAGACAAGAATATCGTGCACTGCTAATCTACCGGTCTCACTCCGGTGTTAAGTACTATCTTCTAAGGTAAGTTAGAATGCGAAAGACAAACATGCCGGTAAGGTGTGTGGTCATGCGACGACTGATAACCTTATAACTCTTAATTAGGTACTCCACTTATTTGCCTTATCAGGTGGAAACAGATCCAGGGGTTGTGATCCATACTGGCAGGTTCCGTCGTGACCGCATTTACACAGATATACCTGGTGTCATGCTGGCATGACTTGCCTGGCAGCCACAAACAAAAGTGCTGGCACCCCAGAAGCGCAAGCCCCTGCAAGCGAGTGGAACGACATGGCTGTAATCGGTCAGCCGAAACTCCATGTCCTCCTTTATTGTCATGATCTGTGTCTAACGCTGCTACGAAATCCTGTACAAAGGGTGAAGACAGTAAAATATGGCGAAAACCGTGTTGTAACAGAATTCTGCAAATGTTGTTTGTTCACTAGCGACTGTTCACTACCCTTCGACGGCATTTGCCGTTTTCTTGGAAAGCTGTCAATGATGCATCCAACATCCTTACAACAGTATCCTGTCGCGGTTTTAGGGGAAAGTTCCTGCAGTGCCTGTGTCAGTGAGACAGCTGGCATTTCGTCTTCGTATCCTAAGCGAACATACAGGTCACCAACAGACATCGGCCATTCGGTTGGACTGTTTGGAAAGTTCTCGTTGGCCCAGCCTGCCCGTAAGTACTCACCACTTGCCTCAGTTCAGGTGGTTGTCTTGATGATCACTTGACTCAGTTGCACCAATTTGCGCCGTGTGTATATTCATGCGAACTGTGACGTCCGAACCGGGTAATTGGGAATACTGAGCGAAATGTTCGGGTTTCGCAGATGACGACGAAGTCAAAACGGAACAAACCATGGATATTTCACGATAGTGCGATTCCTGGAAACCCACGGGTTAGTTGATGCACTTGGGATGCTACATAAAACAATTGATGAGCGAAACGAACATACTCCCTCGTTATCAAAACCTAGCCAGTCATCGAACGATATTAATCTAGTGCCAACGGTGTTCTATCGTCAACGATCAAAAAGGTATCATCACGGTATGGATCTCTCAAGAACCAATCAATAGGCTGAATTTTTTTATACACAGGTTTCCCCAGGCAGGAGTTCATTTTTGTAGTTCTATTCTCAACTGTAATGAACCGCCAAAGCATCGTACAACGAAGAAACCGCTACATTGGCCCACGTTTTGAAGAAAAAAATGCAACTAACAGTCACTCACGGGATACAAACTTATTCCATAGTAGATCAGATATGGCTAAGATGTATCAAATCTCTCGGGTTTCTAAGAAATTCCCAGTTTATACTAATATTCTTGTGCAACATACTTAACCACGTTGATCTTCCAGTTACACAGATTCGCACCATCCGTGCTGCACAGCGGGATAGACGTGCACCCTTATTTGAGGAAGTTATTTATATCTTGTTTGTTGTTAGACTCCGAAAAGTGAAACAAGAGAGGAAAGTTGACAGCACTTCAAAAAGTTCTACAGGCACCGTAGGTATATGCGGTTTTCGAGGGTACGGTTAGCTTGAAGCAAGAAATGCTACCACAGCTAGCAGAAGACAGTGAGTGAAAATAAACAAAGCCTAGTTGAAAATGATGAGAACTGGTTCTGTGAAATGAAAGCAGCGTTCTAACTAATGATGCGCAAAACCTGTCCTACTGGTCAACGAACACGCGTTTGATAATAAAGTGCCAGAAGGAAAACGGATAAGCAGTGATCTTTTACGTACCTTTTCGTCAGGATTCTAGAGTGACAGACGAAGTCAACGCATGACTCTCTAAAGCACGGATCATGTTTTCTAATCTGTGATATCTATGATGAAAAAGTTGCATACATCTGGATCTCAAGGGACGTATCGCGTTACAGCATAGATCGTTTTCTTGCATGTTTGTGAGAAGTGGCCTTACTGTCTCTTCTTGTTGGAGCGTTTTAGAGGATTTGCTCCATTTCCTTCAAACACGTCACGTAGGGTATAGCATTGCCAGTATGCTTTTCGCCACCACGATCATCGTCATCAGAGACGCCAATATAAGCGTTGATGCTGGTGCTGCACTGCCGTACGACTACATGGTTTATTTGATTGTAATTGAGCTTGAAAGTGGGCATAAAAGGTTTCTGTGTAAATTCGAGGAACGGCTGACCCCTGGTTGAGATGGCCCTGTACAACAGTGGAATCTAATCGATTTCGTTCTTTTAACCCGTGAGCAGTTTGAAGGACACATAATGAAATTGAAACCGAACATTCGGATGGCAATGCCACGCTTCCTCTCGGATCGCATTTAGATCGACCACACTTTTACCATCCGACTGCTTTCACGGAATTCGATTATTCAAGGTATAAGATCAATTGTTAGAGCAGCTACCAAAAAACGCTATTCTGATGCACTGAAAGGGTCACCTCAAGAGATTTCACAACCGAGAAAGGACGTATTTGGTTCTCTGCTTTTTAGGAAACTGGAGTCGAGTTATATCAGACAGACTAGGCTGTTTTTCTTCTCCGTTCTTGTTGGTGTTGTACCTCTTCTCGTTATATTACAGGTCCATCTGCAGCAAAACTTAATCCCCAAACTAATGCGCATTGTTGTTAGAACGTAGTGGATTTGTATTAAGCGATTCTTCCCAGAATCACACTTGGTAACCACAGTCATCCAGGATCGACTGTGAGGATGATTAGGAATTTACGTTCCGACTGACTGGAGCAAAGCTTCGCGTTCGTAACAGTCCCTGAGGCGCAGTGCCTAGGATTGTAAGCGGTAGTGTTTGTTTCAACGGCCAAATATTCCTCACTTCCATACTCTCAGGTATCAATAATGCATGTTTACGAAACCTGTTTGTTACATAGAGAATCACACAAGTTTACAGTTGTAGGTTTACTTGTGCTTACCAGATATTCAGACACAAGAAAAAGGGGAAACGCAAAGCATCACTCAGAAACAATTCAAACTGATTGCTGACTTGTTACCTAAAATTGGCGAATATGTTACAAACGTCTCATCACCAATCAGGGTAACACCACCAATGCGTAGTTGGGTAGCCATGCGTCGTAGCTGAGCAGACCGTCGTTGTATGGTCTGCCATATGGTAATTTTCTTAGGATGATCGGTTCCGGTTGAGGTCACAAGTTGAATTGGTGGCTTTCTGTTGGCCGAAGTAGATTAATCCAGCCCAGTTCATTGAGATGGTTGACTGATTTTGTCATGGATTACCATGTTTCCGGAAATCCTCTTGATTCTTTTCTGTCTCCACCCGTTGAGATCTTTACGTTATCTGAATTGGATCGATGACAATCCTGCTCCTCATGCGCAGAGATCAAACAGAGCGGATCGTACACTCATACGATTGCTTCTTGTTCGTTCATTCGGGTATAGTTTGTTTCCGGTTTGTCTAACGTAGTATTCGTTGCATCCATTGCAGGTTGCCTGACAGGCAATATTGGGTTGGCCAACTGCCCTTACCTTCTTCTTCGGTCATGAAATCAGTCCTTCCAAAGTAGCATTCGATTTGTGAGCAGCCAAGCTTTCACGCGATTGTGATAATCTTGTTAGAGCAGAGGTTATCTTGTATGCGCAGGCATCAGCCTTTCATCAGGTTGTTCTTGTGGTTTATTCTGCTGCTGCTGCTACCTTTTAGTTCAAGCATTTTCTTTCACAGTTCCTAGAATGCCCCGTGCTTTGTGCTCTTCTATACAGATAATTTCTTTCCCTTCTCAGTTTGGTTGAGCTTCAGTGTTTCTGTTATATTAGACAGGCTCTAATTGAAGCCTTTTTGTGGTTCGCTGGATGGTTGTTATGATAGTGTAATATCTGAAGCGTACCTGTCTTCTTTCGATTAGTGTACCGTCCGACTTCCGTTGAATCAGTACATCCAACGATGACAGCTTCTTGTCTTCTCCAGTTATGTTGTTCATTTGGTGTCATGATTGACCACTTTTCAACTGAGGTCTCAGTCGAATACGCCGCACGTGGCTGTATCACCGAAAGGTTGTTTGACCTTCCCGATGTCATCTGGTCTAACAACCATAACTGTTTATTATTTCTTCTGGAAATTGGTTTGTCTTTTTTCGGATGCTTGTCTGTTCAATTATACACTGTTTTTGTTGGCTGTCTTTCGTGAACCCGAGAAATCTTTCAAAATGGGTTCCAGGTTTGCCCAACCATGATTATGGGAGGCATCGCTGACGTCAAACTTGTCTTTTAACAGCATGTCCTTCTCAGATCTAATAAGTGAGCTACTTTTCTTTAAGTTTACGTTGGTATACAGTGACTAGGTCCGTATCTTGTGTTGTTTACGGTGTGCTATTAGTTATCAATGGAAGGCAGTCATAAGTGAGTGTGTCATGCTGTAATCTATGGCTTGCTCATATTTGCTGAGTCGATGACGGGCATCAGAGACCACTAACCTAACCACACTTCTACCGCTCTATCTTCCTACCGCTTAGGCATCTAGATGGTCTAATGCAGGTCTACGGTCGGCGCTTGATCCACACCACGCTCGCTCGGGATGCATGGTACAGGGGAATGCCAGTTGAGATGGTTCGTTAACAAAAACCCATCCGCTTAATACAGCCGCCTGGGGACCTGTAGAGAGCCTGTTTCTCAACACATGGCTTCTACGCATCATGTGACGCGTTTACAAGAAGCATCAGGCATCAAACCGATGGTGAAACCTAACTTATACCGAAAGCAACCAAACACCGGAAGTAGACCACAATCCAACATGAGATCTGGCATTCCGCTGATATAGTTATTAAGGTCTGTAGAAAAATGGGGACAGATAGAGAGGGAATTGTATAGCCTAAGCCGTCCATATGTGTTCAAAAATGTTCAAACCCAAAAAATACAATAAGCAAGTGAAATCCAGCTATACAGATGAGTTTGGAAATGATCCCTTGGCATGAGATGCTGATATGCGTGCAGTACGATCCAAAGTTAGATTCGGCCAGCAAAGCACACCAAAGGCAACTCACATTTTCCCCGTGTCAGCCTTCCGGCACCCGTAAACTTCACCAAACCCACCCCTTCCTATGATCCGATGGACGCTGAAGTCATTTGTAGTAAGCTGGAAACAGAACGGTGGATAGATCGGAAAACCAATGTAAGTTCCGCTGAAAACATCACAGGGTGATGATGGATAACATTATCAACAATATAGATTCAAAAAAAACATAAGAAAAATTCGTAATGTTGCGTCCGAACCTTTTTGAATTCCATTTCAGGCCAGAGAAGAATACGTATTCCTACACTTGATACAGAGGCACACCGAGAATGCTACAATTTCAGAAGCCTTTTCCAAAAGTTAGTTAGTAACCTACAACCATGAGCAAATTATGTTCTTCTGCTATTAACAATTCAATCATTTCTGTTAATTAGTCCAATGCTAATTGAAATGAAACTTTAGCGCTTGCAACAGGATTACCATGTGTCCATTAGTGATAGCTCCCAAACACCAGCTATCAAACATAAGAAAACCATCTTTTAAAAGGGCGACTCCATCACAGTTACTTCGCGTTACGTCCACGATTCTCAAGTTAAATGTTAGTACGACTGTCTTATCTAGATCTATGATGTTGTATGCTCTCTCTATGCTATTTCTTCACACGGACCGCATCTGGGTCTACAGACCAATGTTGAGAAACACCACTGTCAATCACGTTAGTTGAAGACAATGGAAAAAAAATTAAATCACCATCGTTTCGGTCCCAGTGTTCAGTCTAACTGGCAAGAAGAGCAGTGCATTTAAGCCGTCACTAGTTTGGAGTATTATCACTATACCATACCTATCGGAAGAATAGATAATATGACATAACGTACAGACCTTTAAAGGGACAGTTCTTCCAACACTAATATATGCGGGAGAATAAACATGCACTTGGGCTACAAATTGCACCGATCAGCAATTCAAGCCCAGTGCCAGTGATTGGAAGACACCTCTTTTCACTCACTGTCTAAAAGACCAACGCAATACAGTACAATAAATGTCCCGAAAAACCCAAAACAAACGGGATACCAACCACAAAAGGAATGCTACTCCGAAGCCGTAGGGCACAATCCAAGAGGCAGAATAAATATAATGTCGACAACTATGATAACATACGTTGATATTCAGCTCCAAATTCTTCCACTGACAAAACCGAGTGAATTTGTTGCTACAACGTATGATTTAGTGACAGTCTATCTGGTGACACTTACCTTCTCAGAAAGTTATCAAAAACCTCGCCACGCAAAACTGGCAGTAGTTCGTCTATATAGGGCTGTATAATAGGAGTTAGGACACGTTCACATAAAAACCATGTGCACTTACGGAGAATGTATCTGCGGGAAGGCTGTTTGTTTTTTGAGCTTGTGTGAGCAATTCAAGTACACTATCCAGAATAGATTTCGGAAATTTCTGTAAACGGATGGACACGTTTAATGTGACCAACAAACGGTCAGTCATACATGCGTTTGGGAAAGCAACTCTCTCATTATGTACTGATCATAAATTTCCTTTCCCAGTTTGATTCGCTCCTCATCAGTCTCCAGCTTTTCAAACTTTTTAATCTGGAACAAAATTATTGATGCGCATAAGCGTACACCCAAACATAGCGCGTACATCCTCGTAGAAACCAAATTGTGGAACCGCCTCCTCGCTGCAATTCAGAGCGAACTCCCGAAAAAGTAGATAGCCTTGTGGTAGAGGATGATCACACAAATTCGTTAAGAGACTGCTTACCTAATTTTTGGTTGAATATCTTTTCAAATGTCAGCTCGCCATTTTTCTCCAAATACTTGGTCATTATACTGCGGATGCTATAAAGAAAAAGAAATAAGCAGCTTCAGTGAGTTGCAAGAATCAGGGACAAAAAAGGATACAAAACTGCATACTTCAAATCACTGTTGTCATTAGCAAGTAAACATGTGTGGGGAACCTTTAGTCGAAAACGAATTTTGAACATCCTCATTAATCCGAATTCCGAAATCTCCAAACTCTCTCTGTCGCCAACGCTCGGTCCGGAGTGTCACTGTGGCACCGAAGAACGAATAAAACCCAGGCTGTCAATAGTTAAGACAAACGGTGGATTACTGGGTCTGTAGCTTATCTACAGCACCAGTGGAACAGAAATTGGGAGACATTGTGCTTGGACCTTGCTGCTGATCGTGATTCATAGGGCTACTCTTCGAGTCAACTGATTCTAAGTTGAAAGCAGTAAAATGAAGACCGGGATAAGTACCGGTTAAATAGGTCTGGAACGAATGTAAGTGAGCGGAACACCGGTGTTATCCCACTGGTGTGGCCTGCAGTGACGGCGAGGTTGATGGCTGAAAGACAAATTATCCGAAGTAGTTGAATGAACTGAGGACGTTGCATCCATCGTACAACGTTGAATTCGGTGTGGGTATATTTTAAATGTAAGATAAAGATCCGATATTGTGCTTCTGTTAACACCAATGCTGACACACCACCACGCTACACTCCCTAACAACACACTCGTTATGACACCTCGAATGGCGATGGAACGTTTACAACTGAATTTTCCAGCACAGCGAACACACCAAAGCAATCTATAGTTACGTAGGTAAACTCACAATCACGACAGAACTGGTTGTCTACCATGAAATGTTTGAAAAACAATTCTTATATGCTACTGGAGATACCACATAACGGTGGTAAATACTGGCGCTTAACTGCCCATAAAAAGGAAGTAGGAAAAGGAGGAAGGTGTGGAATTAGCAATATGCTCGGCTGTGCCAGCTGGTGGTAGATAAAGTGATTATTGACCTGTCTACCGAGCCTGGCAATTGGCTTGCAATCACGGGGTGAGACTAATGTACAGACGCCTAGATAAGACGATGGAAACAAGGTGCCAAAACCTTCAGATATTAAAATAATAAAGATCGCCCAGCCCGTAAGACCAAATTGACCGCGTTTCATGTGACTAAACGCAGCAATACACTACCGACTAGCATCCACCCAAAGATGACACCACCCGTACGACTACCCGGATCCTAGTTTGCACGTCCTCGACCTTCATCAAATAACGGTGGGTGACAACAGCACTGAAAATGGTGGGCGCTGGTGAACAAATTTTTTAGACGCCCGAATCAACGGCATACCCAAAAGAATGAATACCAACTAGCACCACAATAAGTCAGCCTCAGTATCCCGACTTCGAAACTGTTCCCAAATACTAAAACATCTGAAGGAGTCTGAGTTTTCGAACCGTTTGCATTTTGTGTAGGAAAATAGTATACTCGGGCATGTCCTGGGACAGAGACCCCTGTACCGTGAGGCCCGCTGGCTTGTTCGGTCGGGAACACTTGATTTCGCGTGTATCCTACGGACATACTTATTTAAGCGCAGCTGGCAACCCACTGTCGTTTCAAAACACCCACTGACACACCTAAAAGCACCGAGTGCTGACGGATCTGTCATTTCGTTTCTCAACTTGTTTTCCGCCTTCCTCATTTCAGTTAACCAATCTCATCTAACTGCTATATTGTCATACCGTCATTTTTTGCGGAAACTCAATTCATCCTTCTCGCCCGTTCCAATGAGCGCTGTTTCTCGCCAGCGTCCAGAGAAAGGAGGTGCGTTGCTGCCTTCTTACTGCGCGCTTTCTGGCTGGATACTCTTATATATCTAAGTCTACGTCCAAGTCTGCTCCAGTTTCCCCGGTGAATATTCACTTTTAACATTTTTATACCTTTATTTTACATCACCCTTGGATAGAATTTGCGTCACGTTTTCTGATTTTGAACTCTTATCGCTTCGCATATCTTGCCGCGCTTTGTTGGTGTTCGATTTCCGTTTGGTTCCGATACATGACAGCCGTAGTTTTAACGACCCGCATAGATTGCTCGTCAGTTTATCGGACATTTCAGGTGCTATAAAAACAGCATTTGTCGTGAGATAGATGCGGCAATCAAGGGCGAAATGTAGCATGGTAATCCGGCAAGTACATGATAACATCCTTGTCACTCTGATCGTTACATGTTATATCCTGTGTTGCTACTAGCTGCATACAAGACAAATCGTGCGGGTTCGGTCAGGAAGGCACAACACTGTGCATGACTTTAGCCATTCCCACTAAGTGTTGACAGACCATAACTTGTTCCCGCGAAACTGGGTTCTTAATGGAAAGCAATTGTGACTTTGCTAACCGGTGTTTGAGTATGCGTAGCACAGGTTGCAACATCTTATCGCGATAAACCTCATTCGCGCCACCATAGATCCTCAGGTCAAAATCTGAAATATCACAACTTGACACATCAATAACCGAACCGATTCCACAAAGCGTCTCTTGCTTGTGAGTCCGAGTCCGCATAGCAAGGGACTATTGGAACGCGTGAAAGAATCGAATCCAGGATAGGAGATGGAATCAAGGTATGAACAAAAAGGTTATAGAGATGTTATAGGGTGACTTTCCAAATCATTTCTGTGTCATGCGTTTGTGATGGCTCCTCCCACTCAAATGGCCCAGAAAAATAAGCCACCCCAAAACAATCGCCTTTCCTAAGTCGTTTTATAATTGTGAGTATTCGTAAACATTGTGTACGCTCAAAACTCAAAGGTCAATCCGGATTTCATTGAGATGGGTCGTCCGGGTGTTCTGCAATAAGTTTATGCCCACTAGGATAGAACCACAAGCTAACCAAAATCGCCCACACCTTCCATATTTTGACATCATTATTAACCCGCCATATTCGACTGACCTCATTGCCGATTTCACACCGATCAATGGCTGATCATGTCTGGTAGCAGAATCACAAGTATTCAAAACGAAGGTGGGCATCAAAACTACCGCTTAATCGAGAAATAGACGTGGTACGGATACATAATTCACACAGCTAGCCCCTGGTTTTCGGCGCAGTAAGAAAATCCGACAAAAATGGTTGCCCTGTTGTCTTTTCTCACAGGTGTCGACTAGGGACCATATGATGAACGTATGTGGTTGTGTGGTAACAATTTCTCAGAACATGGTATCAAATATATCCGGTTTGTACGGCACCATGTCAGGCGTATAAACTATCAGATACAGACTCTTTGCCGTGAGAAATCCGAATAAACCAAGAATATTAGCACTTTCCGTCATTATCAGCAGCAGTAGCTGTAAGAACCGCGTACTTGTCTTACAGGGCTGTCACAGTTTCGTTCACAGATCATTTGAGGAGGTGGCAAAGGTAGCTGCGCATCGACTTAAATACGTTTTCATACCACGAGACACAGACGCTTGGCGGCCTCACAAAAATAAAAATGGTGGCATATTGAAGCCCATGTGCAGAGGAATACAGGGATTAACGTACTGATGGCCGTATGGTCTCACCAGCGCAAAGCAAAGCAGTGGATGAAATAGTCCCAGCTACAAGAAGTACGCATCATACAAACGTTCTCCAATGACATCCAACTAGTCGGTTGTCGTATCTCTTAGAGCCTAACCCATCCAAACAATAGAGGCCTCCTACAAAATTGCAGTGTATTCCATAGGTCCACATCGAGGGTGTCAGATGAGCACATACCTCAATATGCAGAATTACAAGACACATCAGGATCTCCAGGCAGATAGTGCAGGTTGCAATATTTCTCAGTGGGCCCTGTGCACGTTGATATGTATTCCTTGTGTCTGAATCCAAAAGCCCATTCCCGATGTGTCAACACTATAGTCTATGATGGTAAATCAGCAAACTATCACGTTGATCAATTGAGAATCTCACCTCTGCAGATTTCCACGTGTGCAGAAGGTTAAGACGTGTACCAGCTGGTCTGTGGACGAAGAGGCTGTACACAAGTGCTGGCCGGGTCACTCGGCTCTTCTCGCGATTGTTTGGGGGCCACATTAGCCTGTCTGCCTGCACGCGATACAATAATAAAGCTGCTACATTTGGTGCGCAGGAAAATTTTTGTGGTAAAATTTAGTTCATTCACTAGAACTCAAGTTCAGAAATCAAAAAGCAACACACGTTTACCGGGATATTTTGGAAGAATTGTTTCCAAAAATGTGCTAAGGCGTGATTGTGGCACGCTTATGCCGCGTAAAGATGAGTGGCTCAACCGCTCACCCGGAGATGAGACATAAGACTTATAATAATTTATCGATCGCCTAGCATAAACGTAAAATACCCTCAAATCAAACATCTATGCTGTTGGTCAACTAACTCATTTAAGCCCTGAAGAAGTGTTTGCACATCAGCCCAACCGACAGAATCACTCAACCGGCGCACCGTCTCAGTGTATAACCGCCAAAGGAATTACAGAGACCTAAGAATACTGTCATATTTTTTCAAACTAGGAAGGAGTCACCGCATTACTCCGTGATCTTGAGGAAGTTCTCAGCCAGTGTTAGCGGTTTATCGAGCCAGACTAGCCAGCACACAGAATACAGCGTCGCCGTCCTCCAATTACGCAGTTCACGTCACGTGATCCTGTGTTAACTAGCACCACGCATTACGGATTTTTAGATGGCGAGTAAAAGCGAACTGCGAAATATTCTCAGGGTGAAATCTCGGTTCGAAATTCAAAAATGCGTTCAGTACCCACAGAAGCACATAGAGCGAAAACATTGTCGAACCACCGACGTCTGCTTTGGTAAGCAAGATGAAGATGTAGTGCCACTGGTGGGCGACGCAGGTTTGCGGCACAATTTCAGACATTGTACGCTGACGTAAAATCAAACACAGCACCAATTTGTACGTTTCAGATGCTCATAAGCCCACTAAAACCTCTTCGATATGAGACGGACTTTTTTTACGCACGTTCACCTAGAGAAAGTTTCAAACAGGATTCACTTATGACAAGGTTTAGATTCCCATTGGAACAAAGTTGGTGTGCAAATGGATATAATTCGCTAAGTTACAAAGGCGGTCTTCTGACGACAAACATCTGTTTGCTTTGTCACTGTAAAGCCATGTAACAGTGGAGACACTATCAGTTCCAACGGTCACCTCCACAATGCTTACTTGGACTCTTCTAGTATCCATTCCTCTCCGGATAAACCTCAAACTATGATACTGGCTTCTAAGCTAGAGTTAACCAAAGATAATTCGTTCCATTTTTCTGTATTTCATATCAGCCAAATACTGAATAGATATCTGGCCTCTTAGTATTCTGTGTAAACACATGAGAACCAGGTGCTGCTATATTGTCCGACTAACAGTTGCAGAGGTAAGTTGTGTTTATTGGAACTATTCATCGGATCTGATTGCCCCTGCAAAACTTCAATATGGAATGTTCCTTTTTTAGGAGAACATTTTGCGGCAAAATACCTATCTTTAGAAATGTGTGTACGCGTTTTTGCCCAAAAAGGCAGGCTGATTCCATAATACCACAGTTCTTGACAATCATCAGGGTTCACTAAAAAAATACCGTATTACACTACACACACTGCCGCTGCTTGGTGCCTAAGCGAGCCGTGAATGTTATTATGCGGCACGACGTCATCCGCGGCATGCTACAATTCTGACTGTAAAACTAGTGCACACATGCACCGCGTGCATTGGTGGGACCGTTTCCTTTACAGAACACCCATCGACAGTCGTCTCTGGCAGCTGCCATGTAATAAATAAATACATAATCGTTCACCTGTGGTGCCTAGCTATCGTTGCAAGTTGCCCATGTCTAAACAGGAGCAGTCGGGATAACAACTTGGGTTGGTATCCCAAGACCTTCCAGTCAGTGAGTTTACGCCAAAGCGACTGAGCTGTATTGAATTCAACCTCCGTGGGGAAGTCTCATAAATGAGGGGTTACTTGTTGTGTTTCATGCCTGCTCCAACAGACCACAGCCCCAGCACCATCGAAGGCAGCCTTTACCACGCCTTACGGTGGTCTAAACGAGGAATTTGAAAGCGCACGTGGATACACTTAGGAAAACTGTGAACCAAATTTTTGGTCGACTTGAGCTGAAATCAGTGAAAAAATGGAAAATGCCTACTTCACTGGAACGTTCTCAGGGAGTACCAACTTCTCAAAAAAAAAATCTTCAACAGCGTGCTAATGAAGAACCCAAATTGATGCAATACCACCAGTTACTGATAACGTTTATCAGCAACTAGCTATCACTCCCATTGGGACAGTTCTGAGGATTATGCGGATGTGCTAATCCGGAGTTGCTTTCCTTCACCCTTTTCAGGGCAATGCATTAGGTTTTTAATCCACCTCGTAAGTGGGAGGCTCGCGGATCGCGAAATCAGAAGTCAGTCAAAGACGTTTTCCGAAAAACGAAATTCGTCCATCTATAGCACTCTTTCGGTGCCTAACTGCCATTCCCCCAGAAGGAAGTGCAAGGGCTCGAATACTATCAGGTCGCCCAATCCTAGATAGAAGTCGAGAGGCAGAGATCGGGTTCGAACCACGGACATTCCGGTATGTGAATTCGCTCTCTAACCACTAAGCCATCTCACCACCTCGTTTTCTGAACGCCCTTATAGTCGCTACACCTTTGGGATGCCAGTTCACACTGGAATGCAGTCACCACATCCTTCAGTTTAGCATAAGGAACGACATAACAAGCTACGTTCAAAACACTACTCGCGTATCTGATAGAATTTCTCATCGGCTCAGAACACAATTCAATCTGATGAATTATCAGACATCAAATGAAAACCAGCCTCCGCGTTGGCCGTGGAGTCTGAGGCTAAGGAAAGCTAGGAAAATAAACCATCCAATCTCAATCAACACGAGTAACAGGTCTCCAAAATCAGTCTATGAGTGAATCGACCAAAGAGCAAGCAGTTTACATCATCTTCAATAAATACGCCCACACAGCTGTGCCGAGCAATTAGAACAACTTTGGTGGGCATTTGATGCTAGTCAATCGGAACCTCGAAACGCATGAGACCACCGCATATTGAACCTAGTAACCCTTTGGCATCGGAAGCATATGATTGCATATTTTCTCTTCAAAATTGTTGAGCTCCTGGTCGGGGTGATCTCTAACCTGCGTTAGTAAGGGATGGGAGACTGAATTGCTTATCTTTATGTTTAGGAAGTAGACTTCCACGAATAACTTCAATGATCCACAGTGCATGTGACCATCATACAGAACTAGCCTCATTCAATCCGTACGAAGATTCTTAACCTCGCCTAATCTGCAATGCTTTGTGGTGGTCCGTTAACGTGTTGAATAAGGAGCAGGTACGTGTTGTGCTGACCACACATTCAGACTCCAAAAGATGCTAGAACAAAACCATACGTAGAAGCGATTCACTATTTTGCGACTCGCACGTTTCTGAAGCTCCTCTTTTTACTGGTCTGTTTTCTAACTCTGTTTCTAACTAGCTCATCAAGCGATGCCCCAAAATTCACCTGCATTCTTAGGCTTACCGCCGCATGGGAGTAATCGGTGAGCTCTCCAAGTCGTTCATCTGTTTAACTGCCATGCCATCAAAAGGGAGCACGAGGACCAGAACACTGCCAGGTTCCTAAGCATAGACAGGGAAGTCGAGAGACAGATGTCAGATACAAACCACGGACCTTCCAGTCAGTAAATTCGCGCTTCAATCACTAAGCCATCTCGCCTATCTCACTCCTCCAAAGCTTCCTTACAATTAGCGCCTTCCAACAGGGATATTCACTTTTTCCATTCCAACTCAACTCCGTGATCTAGGAAGTAATCAGATAAACTTTTCAGAAGTTTGGAGTTCAAACTGCCTCTGCTTTGATCATCATCATTGTCAGCTGCAATAACCGCGTACTCGTCGTACAGTGGTTTTAGCTGCCGCAGTTTCGTTCACCAATGATTATACTGATACAGTATCCACTGTAATTACTTGCTTTACAGCCAACCCCTTTGAGTTTATCGGTTATACGGGGCATAACACAATGCTTGTAGCGGCCAAAAGATTTAGAAGATACGCATCAGTTTTAGTTGCTACGAAAACACCCTAATATTCCTGTACTGGTTGTGGGTGGTCGGCTATTCTGGTAAACTTTTGGACCAAAGAAAATGGGACTGTCAATATGCCTCTGACCCGGCCCTAACTGCTGTTTTCTGGCTTCCAAGAGTAATTTGAATATGGTGAGCATTCGAGGACAGTTATATCCGGGACCGAAAATGTGGTGAATATTGGGTTCACATTACATGTTTTCCTAGTAGGCGTCTGGAAGACTGCACCATATGTGAGACCTCTAAATTTGGATTGGTCCACTGAAGCTTACTGTTGTCGTAAAATATGCATCACGCAAACAGTTAGTACCAATCCTTAGCACAATGAATCGGATATACTGAACCAGAATGTTGTACAACTGACACAACGAAATGACGAAGGGTGCCCCCATGGCCAGTTTCTTCGGAGAAGGCGCCAGGATAGTGAAGGCAACCTTGCAATAAGTAATTTTTGGCTTTCATGACATACAAAATGATCTGTCGAACTTCTGCCCCTGTTTTTGGCATGCTCAAAGATGACAGTGAGTTCCACAACTATTTACTGTCTAACCTTTTTCCGTCCACTAGGAAAAGGTCGATTTTGACAACTGGGGTCAATTGATGATGGTGTAATCTACAGAAGTGGTACTTACCACAAATGGGGTGGCTACAGAGTCGTCGGTCCGACTTCCAGCGTCGCTGATTTTTGGTAGCACAGTTCGATATACACAGCAGACCCATAATAGTAATTTTCCAGAAGGAATTTAGTGCTGGAGGCCGCTCAGTCCTTTTAGCCGACGATCTTGCTCAAAGGAAGAAGCAGTATATGTGCGGGACCATATTATGGCTCTCATATTTACATGCTTGAGGACAAGTCTGCTGAAACTAGTGTCCGCAAAGAATATCTACTCTCTCTCCATTTCTGTTTCAATTCGCGCGTGTAAACTCATGAAACAGACGATCAAGAGGCTTCCAAAACACGGTGCCAAATTAGTGCTAGCAACAAACTTTTAAAACTTTAAAACCACAAATCGTAACCTTCTGCTTCAGAATGTGCACTCACTGAGCATCATACTTCAAAAAACACTGAGATTTTTGGAAGGATTTAGATACCTTGACAATCTTATTGGCTCCGACAGAAGTTTTGAAGTTACATCGGTGTACGAACCTCAAGAGCATTAACGAAGGTTGCCAATTCGCGTCGCTTGTGGCGTCCAGGAAAGCGTGTCACTATATCACAATGGTTACGCATACAATGTTTCGGCAGGAGCTGTTGTCGTATGGTAGCCAAACATGGTCTCAAGTTAGTGTGAACAGACTATCGATTGCTGACTGTCGAATTCACAAAAACTTTGCTAGTACTGGGTGGCACCATCGAAATCATGAAGAAGTAAATAGAAAGCGGGTGTCTAGTTGTGTGCCATTCCTTTTCATCATGTCAGATCACACCCACAAACTAGCAGTGGTCTTTCACGCTGCCTGAAACCGTATCTACTGCATAAAATCACTCAAATATCACTTTGAATCGGACCGTCGACATGAACTTGCTACCCAGTATCAACTCGGCAACTTCCCCAATGATCCTGAAAACGGGAAAACTCGGAGTTTCAAAATGCGTAAACAATCAACAAACGGGTTCGTCGCCCATTTCATTTCTCCTTGTCTCATCCAAACGCATTCCTTATTAACGCGTTCCAAGTAGTGTTTCGATACAATCGCAGCGCAACAACACGATTGTAAATTACCGCTCTCAAGATATAGTATCTACCCAGGTCCGTAGGTCTCTTGGATCAGAATGAAGACCCGGAGTTCTTGTCGGTATCTCAGGCACATATAATCCCACATCACTCTCACGCGCCAATCAGTTATGAGCTACCATAGAGCCATAAGGAGACTACCGGCTAAACAGAATTACAGGCAGCTTCCCACTAATAACCAAAAATGATGCTTCCTTTGACAAACTTTCGCCTCACTTATCATGTGAGCAGTCGTAATGCCTGATTCTTAAGGACCCTGATGCATCAACCATCAATTGGAGAACGCTGATTTGCTCCGATCATGATCGAGGAGTTGCGAAAAAATGGAATACAACACATGTCTGTTGCGTTTTTTGTCAGTTTATCTCCATATTGCCTTATTGAGCTGTCGAAGATGTGAGCACCGCAGAATACATGCGGAAGAGTAGCACCAAGTCCGTTTGACGTCCATTTTAGTTCTCCTCTTCACAGTATGGCTTTTAAATGAATCAGGGTTGTGTAGAAGCGAGGTGACAGTACTGAACACTGATCTAATGTAATCGACGATAATGATAATGACGATGACGAAGTGACTTCCCTCTTCCTTTTTTAAATGACCTGCATCCCAGTCGACTCACTATCATTACATTTCATTCTTGTCCAAGCAACCTATGCGGCGTTTTAAAACTTTCAGTCTGACTGCTAGCCTCAGGAAACAGACAACCAACAAAGCCTAACCAGTGTGACCACCAGGTCAACTGGATTGATAGCTCGGAAAGTAACTAGGATCATCATGTATTCACTTATTTCCATTGAAAAACCGTAACGAAAGAGCTCACCTCGGATCTGGGAGGGCTATCCTTTTGCTCGCCCTGGCAGCCGGTGTAGACTTGCTCATCTCCATGGCCATTAAGTAGCTCACATCGGCCAAAACAGCTTCCAGGTCAGCCATTGTGTGATTTCTGTTGCCTCAATCAGGGAAGTTTGTTTGGCATCATTTATCAGGCCCGCGAATCAGCTCCGAAAAATTTTATCACATCACAAATCCCGATGTCTGTACAACCGCCATAATCAAAAGTTCATGAGGCCAAAATAACTGAGGAATTAAAACAAATAAAGTTGTTCAGGTGACCGGACAAGGTTGATTTGCTCAACAGAATAATTTTGAGGAGTATTGGAGGTGGCCGGGTTTCAAAGCGGTGTCCAGTTGTATGCCCGAGTCGATTTCCGGAGCGTCAGTTCTTTACCGTTTTCGAAGAGTTCCAAGTATGGCTCAGGTCGGCAATTCAGTGCGCGCGCCGTTAACGCACTTACTCACGCGTGGACACACAGGATCGAAGCCTTTGCTAATGCTCTTAGATTCGGGCTCTACGCAGTCGTTTAGCGGCTTCCGTTCAGCTGAAATGCACGTGCGGTAAAAGGTGCGAGAAAATTGTTTATATATGCTGCCAGTTTCCATGTTTTTTCAGATTTGTCTGAAAAGCGAGTATGTAAATATCGGGTGTGACACTGCTTTTGACTGCCTGGATACCACGAACCAGCGAATTCTGCCCAACCACACCAAACAGCGGGAGTATGCATAGCCGCTGCAGGTGAAGTTGCAGCGCATATAACCAAACGAATGTTAAAAAATTGCCGCCGGAATTCTGGGTATACAAAATTGAGCGGTTAACAGCCAGCTAGTGTGTTATGACTACACACATCAGAGACAAGTTCCTAATGGTTGCTTGTTTATTGAAGTGAAAGATCAAGGCCACCTGCAAAACGCTAGATCGTATACGCGGATTCACCTTTCGATACACCGCATCGAGGAATTTGCCCAAGTTTCCCGGATCGGTTTTATACTTGTCGTTCAGTGGCTGCAATCGACCTAAAAAACATAAACGAAAAAGGCGTGGCATTGCTCTTCAAGTTTTCATCATGGGGCAGTAAGCTTGCTAGTGCGATATCTCGCGTAAAACGGTGTCCAGTAGTGCTTCGAACAGGCTTCTAGCTGGAACAGAGAAAACAGTTGGAGGAAGGTCATTCTTCTCAGCATCCACCCGAATGAGAATAATTTGCCTAGTAAAGGGGGCGCTCTAAGCCTGGAATTCTTCTTACCATGTCCCTGCCGTGTGATTCCAGACTCGACGGTGAAAAGCCTTCTGGCCGAACCATGTTCAAGCAGGGCATAAGGTAATATTCAATCTTTTCGGAGATGATTACACCCCTTGTGAAATGGGTTAAGCACCGCGAGACGCATTTCGTAGTCCATGAATCTAAGGCTGGCAACCATCTTCGTAGAAATTCGTTGGGCACGTCCGATGAAAATTATGTTTTATTTGCGTTCTATTAGTGCTCAGCTGATGATGAGAGTAATGCAAATCAGAAGGCGTATGTGCACTAATAGAGATATTTAGTGTGGTTGTGACACGTATAAAAATGAATACAATGCGAAATGGGAGCAAGTCAATAAAGGAACTTATCGTATGTGAGAGTTCCTTGATGAAAGTCCGGACGGTGGGAAAGTGTCTTCTTCACAGTTTGGCTGTTACACGTATTCCATGATTGTCGTGGACTGGGGAGTGTTTAGCTGACTACTTGCTCCCTGCGCGCGCGCGAGTCCATGCGTGTTGACTGTGTTGTCGCTTCCTATATATAGGAAAGTTTGATGTGTGTATAAAATATGAATCGTTCCGTGCGTACTAAACAGGAACTGACTTGTAGTCGGTCAAGGTTGCGGGTGGAACGGCGTTTGTCACGTGACTTGTGTGCTTGTGTAGCAGGTGAGTCGTGGGATCTAGTAAACACCCATGTACTGGACAAATTAAGTGAAGTTGGTTGAGGGGACATGGAAATGTCCGCTACAGTTCTGAGTAGATAACTTGGTTATCATATTCAAGCGGTCAGACGTAGGCCGCATAGAGTATTTGGAAATGTATGAGAGTAGTAGAGGAGGTGGTGTGCCGAATCATCAGTAGAATGCCGACTGTGTTTTGAGCCAATTTCTCATGATGCAGTGGGAGCGATATGTTTGAAAAGACCCAGATACCCTAATGTTTTTTCAGGATACACGACGAAGACGTTTCCCGAGTCCCCTCCGAATGACATGTGAACGCCCATTCGGTCCTTAAGAGAAAGGTGTCGGTCCAATGACTACTGCTTTGTAGCCTCTACATCCTTTTGGAGGGTACTGACATTTGAACCCCAAGATTTTAAGTCGTCCGTGAATGGCAGACATTGACCTGGTAGAACGTCTGGAGGGCCGTTGACGTAGATCAGAAACAGCAATGGTCCCAAAACGGAGCCTCCAGGAACTCCAATTGAGGTCGTCGCCAGAGAAGAGTAGGTCGAGCATAGTTTCACTTGGAGTGTTCCGTCTGGTAGAAACAACCTAATCTAGCCTTCGTGGAGCAACGGGACATGTAGGACTCACCCAAATTTTTTGAGTAGTTGAAAAATATGGCACCTGTTATATATCCTTCGTCCTTGGCTTGGGTTGAGCTGTCCATAAGTACGAGTATGTCTGTCACTCAGGAATGGTTTACAAGGCATATCTGTTGAACTAGAGATAGCAAGCTGTTGATGGTAAGGCGATCTAGGACGAATCGCTTCTGACTGCGTTGCATCACGTTGTGGGCATGCTAGGGAAACCAATAGTTCTTTATGCGCTGGAGCGATAGTCGGTGACAAGTTTCTTGGCATCCACCATACCCGCCTGCTCTGTCATGCCCTAGAGCGCCTTATCAAAGACACTGCCATGGATTACCTGCTCATCGCCAACACATCCAACAATCGGCGGTGTGGGTTTGTGGCACGGCGGTCAGGTAGATCAGCCGGGTCGATTTCTTTCATCGTATTTCGTCCACCTACGACTTTGTCCACAATTTCCAAGACGTTCGACTAAGTCCCTCAAGATGCACTCAACAGTCTACTGGGATTGATGGTCCGTCACTGCAATGGATCACTGCTTAACTCGCTAGAAGAGCCCGGGTAAAATATCCGGGGTCTCGCCTCATCACATCTTCCCATTTGCAGTGAACTTTTTCAGAGTAGGGTGCTTGGGCCTCTACTGTGCTTACCGTGCATTAATAATGTTTTTGATTCGATCACACATAAGTACCCTTTTCTGTTCGCCGATGATATTAGGATAGCTTATACGTTTAAGACCAGTGACCCTGTTTCTGCTCTTGCTAACACGTAGTCTGATGTGTATTATTTGTCCTTTTGATCCTCTAGCTCCAGTCGTTTTTAGCCCTTCCAAAACCCCGAGCCCTCTCACATCGATCCCAGGCTCCGTCTGGGATGTTTATTCTGAATGAACTCTCGATAATTGCTCCCCCAAGGTGAAACACCTAGGCCACGGTTCTTTCCGTGCGTTTAGTCTTAACCAAAATTCATGGCACAGAGCGGCTGAAGCCCGCAAGTTCTATACTTTAATTTGCCGATTCTTCCACAAGAAATCATGCTTAACTGCCATTTTTGAACAGTTTGTAAGACCCATTCTTGAAACCAGTCCTAAATTCGTCTCAGAGTACTCACAGGCATGCCGGACTGTTGTGGAGATTTTGCAGTGTTCGTTTATTGTCTTTATTTCCGACTTCATTCACACTGCCGAATCTTCTTCGCCGTTTATCGCATAGGCTGGATCCATTATGGCTGAAAAGCACCGGTTAAAGCTAGGACCTCTGCATCGTCTAATCTATAGATGGATTTATATGGATCTATAGATGAATTTTCGCTCGGATTTGTCTAGCCCGGCTTTTCTGCTGCAATTTCGGCTTGCCTGTTGCACAAGATCAAATCCGCATACGGAGCTCAGATCGCCCTATGTATTAGCAACTTGCCTTCATCCAAACCACACCCTTGCACCTGAATTTCTTACAACAGTGCAACCAGTGAGTCTGTTTACCTCCAGATTAAACCACATTTTTGAGATAAAACCTGTCATGTGCTCCCAATTTGGATTATCCCATCTCCATTTAGAATTTTGCTCGTTGTGACTCCGGCCATTTACTTAGCCACCCAAGGTCACCCATGGCCAGCAATAGTTTCTAGTTTTAGTTCATGCCACTTGACTGTCTTTGAACTAGTCGGACTTCATGCCCATTGTTCCCAACAGGTTGGGAAAGAAACCTTTTATTACTATACCATCGGATATTCCCCACCGTTTATGACATTGTCCTTTTTTTATGCACCCCCGCACCCCCCCAAATACCCCAGTCA